GTAAAGGAACGAAGGACTATAGAAGGCACAAGCGATTAAAACGGGAAACGGATGTCACGAAAAAAAGACTCCCACCTTTGGAGGAACTGCCATCAGCAAGAAACCGTTGTTGTTTTATACCTATGCTGTACGTCCCATCCGGAGCATGAACAAGGCGAACAGAAATTACAGGATAACCCGTCTGTTTCGTCCACAGAGTCATGACTTCGGCCACATTGTCAATACCGGTAGTCTCCAGGGCCGTCCACAAATCCTTTGTTCTAGCGTTAGCATACCTAAATTTCTCGAAGTAAGTCTTCAATCCCGCTTGGAATAGCTGCAAAGAACAATGACATAAGCACTATCTAGCAATAATTGGCAGATATTTCAGATGGATGAAAGAGAATATTTTCTGTCAGCTTGGAACTAAAACCTACTACTCATTTCGTGTGTTCGTTCGAGTACAAATAATAGCTTGCACCTAATTTGTCAGTATTGAATGTAATAATAAATTTAGTGCAAGGTCAAAAGGACAAATAAACGGATTTACGGAAAGGGTTGGAAAGAGTGATATCGTGATATCAGGACGCTTAGTCTTGAAGTAAAAGGAAGTTGCCAGTGTCAACAGTTCCAAGACGATAGCACATCGATTTGTGAAGGACATAAGGTGGACGATCTTTGACTTTCCAGTCTGACGTCCATCAACGCATGCAACGCCTAACAGACGCGAAATCTAGTGCGCAACCCCGCACAAGAGGGGAAGCACTTAATGCAAGCCATGGACACAAGCATTTGCAAACAACTAAATTCTGGAAAAGGCAGCTTATTTAAGCGTAAAACACATTCCAATCCTCGATCCAACACCTAAACCCTTCATCACAAATCCCGAGTGACCCGAAAATTCGCACTTGAACACCGACGACAGAGCGAATCAACGGCATTTCTCCAACGTATTGACAACTTTTTCTGTACAAAAGCCGAATGTATATCGACGTGTGGTACAAAGTAACGGCCGATCTCTTCTTCCCTCAAAAGGTCGTTTTTTTCCACTTTTGGGGAACTCAATGGTGAAAATAAAATAACGTGGACGTAATAGTAATAAAAAGGCCCCACCATATTATAACACAGGCTAACGAGGAGAAGTTTGCAGGGGTTCACAAACGCGACCGAAAGTTGGACTTTCAATAACTCTTGGTAAAGTCAGAAGGTAAGGAGGACAGATAAACGGCGACGGGAAAGGAAGAAAACAATTCATAATTACAAGTGATTTGGCGTTTCTACCTTAAAACCTTTAAGCCAGAATGCTAACGATTCCCATACAAAACCTAAAGGATGAAACGAAAAGTCAAGTGACGAATAGAAGGGGAAAAAGAATCGAGAAATGATCGACGCTTTAGAACACTCACACAGGGCCCCATGTAATTGTGAAGCATACGAATGACGCAACTGCCCTTTTGATACGACACCGCATCAAAAATTTCCTCCACCTCCTCGGCACTGTTCA